AGAGAATAATATATTTTATTGGCCATAGTGTTTTTAAGAGGTCAGGAGTTTTATCTACTACGTGATTGGTTGTGATTTTAATCAGGATAAACTAGCACGTAAGGTTCAATTTTGAATGAAAATTTATACATATTTGATGAACATGTCTCTAACTGGTGTACTCAAAGACAGGTTAATGAATACTTAAACTTAGCAACGATATTGTATCAAAAAACTAATGCTAAGAATAGGGGTAGCGTAACATCATAACATAACAGCCTTTTATCCTCGAAGGGGTAGGCAGAGGTGCACATTATGGCACTTATTGCCACTGTACAACGTAACACCTACTTTTCACTATTTATGTTATGCGTCCCATTTCATAGACGGTGAGTGTATTGCCATATACCGGGCACAATTCCAGACTCTGTGCTACTACTGAGATTTTTTTTTAAACTCAGTAATACTTTCGCCAACCCAGGAATCGAAGCTGAGACTCCTTGCCCGGCAGTCGCACTTGCGACCAGTCAGCCGACGAGGCAGAAAGAACAGGGTCAGGTAACCATTGAATCAGTTTGAGTATGGCGGTAACTGATATTTTGATTATTATACTCATTCATACAAATATACAATCGGACACCAACATCCGGAACTAACGCAGCACATTCTTTAAAGACGTAGGCAGATCTGTACATAAATGACACCCACTTTTTAGTTATAGTACCTAACAATAACCAAGTTTATAATAAAAAATTTACTTACCTTTTTACATTCTCCCAAGGTATCACTGAGAGTGATAATAACCGCCTTCGCAGTATTCATTGTCTCGTTAGTTGTAAGTACTTGTTGTGATTTCTTACGTAGTAACAAATAGTATTTTGATCTCCAGCTGTTTTAGCGGCTCTGGAGAGCAAAAAAATCACCTATCCTTAAAAATGTGTATAATTTTATTAAATAAAAATCATACAAACCCACTTTTTACTTCATGATTCATTACTTCATTATTATCGCATACCATATATGAGATGTTTTTTATAATAGGGGAAAGTCCCGTAACGCCGGACGGCACCTAACTCCGGACACTTGTATTTTATCGATACCTGATAACACGAGCGATTCAATTTTTACTAAAAATCTTAGGTGTCTGTCACTGGGAGACTTCACCCTAAAAATCGAATTGCTCGCGTTATTAGTTTTGAGATAGTACAAGTGTTCGGCGTCAGGTGCCACCCGGGCGGCGTTAAGGGACTTGCCCCTACCTATCGTGAGACATGCTAAATTAACTAAAATCGCGGGTTACTCACGTTAATATATTAAGAAAAGCTTTCCTAGTTTCGAACCACAGAGGGGTTCTTCCTCATGAGCAGTGTGCGTGGTCGAGGCGACGTCGCGCAGCCACTGGCTGGCGTTGGCGCTCGCCTCGGTGTTGCTACTTGCGCTGCGAGCCCAATGGTTTGAAACTAGTAGAGCTTTTCACAGTATATTCACGTGAGTAACCCATGTATTAGATGTCCATTGTCCACTGCTAAACATAGGCTTCCTCTAATAACAATACCAGAGATCAGTTAGTTAGTTACCCGCTCTAAAAATGGGTTACTATAAAGCCCTTCATTACGTTCAGAATAGTACGTAATTATTACTTGCTTGGATCTTACGGCCTAAGAGTTAATACTGGATTTATTACTAAATGATTTTCACCAACTTGAGATTGCGACAACTCTTAAAATTACATCATCAAAAACTATTATCGCCATTTAATTTAACTTTAAAACCAGTAATGTAAGTACTTAATGGAGCCACTTCCCATCAGTTGCACCGTCATGTTTGCCAAGCTTTTAGGTAAATAAATCTGGCCGAACAATTAACATGGTGTTTACAGCCATCACTTTGTCGGCGTCAAAACTTATGGGAAAGAGAATTCAATATGGCAAGTCATTAGATTTTTAACCGACTTCACTTAAAAGAAGGTTCTCAGTTTCATCTGTATGTTGGTATGTTTGTGCGCGGTTTTCTCCCGATTGGCTGAACCTATTTTAATGCGGTTTTTAAATAAGGGTTTTGGTGCACAAAGGGAAGGTTTAAGTACATTAACACGTTAAACGCCATGGGGGTCATCGGTGACCGGCGTTAGCGGAGGATTTACCTTCATCAGTTTTTTATTGGCAGTTAAAGTCTTAATTAACTGACTCCGTGAAAACGGGGTGTTGAAGGTAAATCATAAATTATAATATAATGCCTTGCATTCTATCTTCGTGGTAAGCGATTATGCGGTTTACGATGGAGCACGTCGTCCTATAAGCAACCTATTCACTCGGGCAAAGAATTTCACTCCTTATCAGTACACAAGGAAGCTTGATGCGAAGCGCTTCAGAATAGAGGTATACTTCATTCACCCACTTTCGTGAAATGAAGTTAATTTGGATTTGTAGAAATTTAATAATTTGATAAAATTTTGGAAATGAAACAATATGTTTGATAAATGCTTGACATTGTATTTATTTGGAAACATTTACAAGAATCAATGTTTTTAACAATATTCAAAGTCCCATACTTAGTATGAGGTCGGCAATTGACGTAAACCTAAGTTTTCTGTTATCAATTAATTCAATAATGTACAATACTTAGCACCGTTAGTACTAAATTAGACTAGATTTTATAATTTCGTTAATTTATTTACTTATTTACAAATTTTACATAATTACATTATTTGGTTGAAAAATGGACGCGGGTAGTCAATATACAAGGAAATTTATATTTAATCCATTGCGTGTTTTATTTACAAAGATTGTGGAAAGGTTTATTCAGGAGACGCAATGGAATACAAACTTAAATATCAAAGTTTAGCTTTTGCGGCTGTTCTGTTGAATATATATTAAAAAAAAACGTAAGTACAGAAGAAAGGAAAACATAGTCAAGACCCATATTTACGTTCGTAGGTACAGGAGTCACACAAATTGTGACGACCAAAGGAATGACGTCACAGTAAAGAAATTAAACAAAGAAAACATCAAAAACGAAACATCCTACATAAAACCGTTTCTCTATTGCGGCGCGCACGTTTCCAAAACGATGCATTTAATGTTCAGTCTATATTAAAATAAAGTACAATATTTTGTGCAGCTGCGGCGGAATGCGGCGTCTGCACGGATGCGTGGTTTTATGACGTCATCGATGCACGCGTCGCTTGACACAGACGAGAGAGATGTTTCAGGCGTTATTGAAATAAAGGGCTTAAACGTTTAGTGTATCATAGATAAGTGTTTTAATTTAAATCATGCATCTTTTTGCTAAAGTATCTATGGCAAAAAAATATAAGGGGAGAGCAAGTTGATTGTGTTTAAAAGTAAGTTTGTATCTTTATCACTGGTGGTATAGTAGAGACTTGGATCACTTGAAAATTAACTACTTTTGCCGCAGACTTACATTACATAACATCACGCCTTATGTCCCCGGAGGGGTAGGCAGAGGTATCTTACGTCACTTAATGGCACTGTTCAATGTAACACCCACTTTTAACTTTTCACTTTTCACTATTTATGTTATGAGTCCTGTGTTAAGGGATGAGCCTATTGCCATAAACCGGGTATAATTACATTACAGACTCCGTGCTACAACTGAGTTACAAATAAATACAACTGAGTTCTTTTTAAAAAGCTCACTAATACTTTGGCCGACCCAGGAATCGAACCCGAGACCCCTTGCTTAGCAAATGCACTTCCGACCACTCAGCCAACGAGGCAGTCTGCCGCAACTTTCAACTATTGTTTTTTCAAATATTCTATTTATTAGCTTTTATCATCATTCAACAAAACAGCCATAGAATCAAACGTTTTCGTAGAATTTGTTAGAATATTACATACAAACGCGAGTAGACAGTTACTTACATAAATAAAGTCATACAAACTTAATACTAAACGTTTTAGTTTACTAACACGATCCGTTAATACAATTACACTTTTGATTATCTTGAGCAGATGAAATTACTAGTTAAGGTGACACTCCGCTAGAAGCTATTCGCTACACTAAAATTATAGCTCGACTACTTATGCTTGACAGATGTTATGGTTCACAAATCAGAGCAAACAAACGTTTGAAACAGAATTATCAATTAAAAAGTCTTTAATTTAAAATCGAAACGAAATAGTTTATTGAACTTAGAGGATTGAATATGATTATTGATATTAATGTGATTAATTTTACCTTTTACTGGGCAATTGCGTTAGAAACCACACGTTAAACAATGAATTAATTAATCAGTGTTTTATACCATACTCTTTAGCCATTTAAATTGTCAAACACCGCGAGGACACCGGTGACCGCAACCTATTGTTCTATAATTGTGTCTATAATGACGGTACTCAACGAGTTAATCTGACACAACCTTACTAGCAATAAAATTCATTGTACTTAAGCTAACATATATACATAACATCACGCATTTTATCCCCGAAGGGTTAAGCAGAGGTGTACTTTGCAGCACTTAATGGCTATTTATGTTGAGTCCCATGTACTAGGGGATGAGCTTATTGCCATGTACCGGGCCCAATTCCTGAGTCCGTGCTTCTTTTGAGATTTTTTTTTAGAATCTCAGTAATACTTTGCCCGACCCGGGAATCGAACCCAAGACCCCTTGCCCGGCAGTCACACTTGCGACCACTCGTCCAACGAGGCAGTCAATAATAGTAACAAAATTAACTATCAACACAGTAGCATAGCTTGTAGCTTATAGTGGAGTCCAATCTTGACACACAAAACTCAATTACACAAAGTACATTAGATTGTTTACAAAAATAATTTATTTCAACAATATTCTCGCTAATTACATCCAAGAGTATTTGTAGTTAAATTAACGTTTCATTATTTGAACTGAGACAGCAAACAATCATACAATTAAATAAGCAATTAAATACTAGAGTAAATATCTTTGTTTTTTGAGAAGAATGGAAGGTTCTATTCTGTAAAATAGTAAATGTAAATTATACCAATTTTAATTTAATTTAAACTAAAAATTTACAAGACGATATCTGTTAAATTATTCAAATGACAAATCACAAACAATTTTTCTTAAAAAATAAACTAAAAATAATTAAGATTTTCCATGTATTAACCTTGCATCAGTTACATTTCCTTTTTGCTCTATAAACGCACTCAAATCACATGTTACACACGCCAATGATTGTCACTAATACAATGTTGACAAGTGACAATCATTGGCGGCGGTACAACGAACACCGATACAACTAGTTGGCTTGTCATGCGTGAACTTAAGAGCACATAATTCTGACAACGTTAAAACTAGTTGTGAGCAATCTACAACGACTGAGTTAAATAACTGTTAGTGCGTTAACTGTGGATAAATGTTGTCGTTCAACTTAACGACACGTCGCGTGTGGCCAGTGATGTTAGAAAGATGGCGGGCGGTCTTTGTGGGCTTAGAAAAATATAGGTATGTAACGTAGTATTGATTTGATAAATGCATCACAATTAAAAAGTTAGGAATATGGTCCAGAAGCAAAAGAAGTATATTTAATAGGTTCGAAACTAGAAGTGGTTTTTCTTAGTATATTCACGTGAGTAACCCGCGATTTTTAGTTAATTAAAAGAAGAATATTTTTGTATTGAAGTTTTTGATTACCAATAGAAAATTGTTGAAGGCTAATCCTCTGCTAGCGTTGGTCTCTCGTGACCCCATGGGGGTTTAATATGTCAAACTACATACCTATTGCAAAAAAAAAATGTTATGATATTGTTATTGAAGTCTGTATCAAACCATAGCTCTAAATTGCAGAGTACTTTTATTGTTGGATTTGCGAATTGTTGTAGTTTTAAGACATAACAACTTGAAGTAAAATTATGCGTGTTTATTTTTTTCATGTGGTAATTAGATTTACAGATCGAATCATTCATGTAATTTATTTGACTCGTCTATAAATTGTCGTATCAGTCGTCTGTTAAATATCAACCCGTCACCTTCATAGCTCCACATCCTCCATTTCAATTGATCGCCCAAACTGACCAACGTGCCCATTCCGAGAATCAATCATACTACAGTTTGCCCACAATCACCAGCGTTTGCTCTCAATGTGACTATTTGTTGCTTTTCGTCCTAAAACCGTCACTTTTGTGTAACTTTTCGAAACGTCATGTTGACTTTTTTGTTGAGGACGTTAAATTGTTTAACAATGATTTGTTAGAATATGAAGTGTAGTAATGTGTGAGTTTTTCGATCATTTACAATTGTAAGAATGTTTGTCGTGAGGTTTTTTTAAAGTCTCATGTGTGCATCGTTGCTTTTTGATGTCTATTTGTTGAGATGGAGAAAATAATAAACGATTTTTATATATTTCATAGTCTCAAAGAAACCGAGCCATTCTTCTAGAAAGTTGTCAGTAGTCCAAAATAAATGAGTACGACGAACAATGTAAAAACTGTTTTTACTTATCTATCTACTATTTACAATAAACCGACCGACGGCATACCAAGCGTATCACATAGAAACATACAATTAAAATTCATAAATCTCTTACAAAAATGTCGTTTTTACACTATTAAAGGAACACAGTCAATACCATAAGAATAAGGACATCGTATAGAAGCGTAACTGCTTTTAAGATCTTTCATTCTTTTTATTCAAATTATCTATTCAAAAAAAAAATATTTTTTTTTAATGTCCGTGAAAAGACTGTTAGCTATGATGCAGTTGAACTGTATACAACCAAGACAACGACCAAAGCTTAGAAGGTTAACAAACAATTTAATAATAATATCCTTTTATTATGAAGGTTACAAAAAAATCCAAAATAAATTCAGAGAGGAAATCGATATTCGCTTCTATTTCAGATTCTTTATTCTTATGTCAATACTTAGTTTAAAGTCTATGTACAAAGGATGGGTAGACAAGTTTATATACAGCTCTCTTGCACACGATGCGAGGTCGTCACGACTTCAGGTCTAAGTCGGTGGGCTGTCAGTGATGACGTCACGCCTGTTGCAGAACTTGGGCTGCATGCATTCACGCCTTTGTTGACGCGGCCTAAACTATGATAAGACTGGAAGAGAGTTTGTGTGTTAGTATGATGCATTTTGTAGAATCTAGTCGAAAGAAGAAAGAGAATTCCTAGATTCGGAGAATATCGAAACAACAAAAAATAATGGGTGCAAACTTAAGAATATATTCCGGATTAAAATGACAACAATGTTGAAAAGCATATTAATCTTACTATGTAGAAGAATGCCATAGAATGACGTAGTAGAAGAATTTGTCAATTAAGACCAAGGTCGCATACTCACACTAGTTAAAGGTATTCTATAATCTTTTTTCCTATAATCTGTGTAGTAGGCTCCCCCATCAGGCTCCGAGCGGACGTCCTCGCCGCTCAGCTTGGTGATCTTCCCTGAAGATGGGGGGCGCTGGAGACTCATGTACCCGTTGGATACTGGCCTCCGTTCTGTGTAGAGAGAAGTTTGATTTAGAACTGAAATTTAATTTTGTTTCTCTAGCAAAACCAGTTATTTTGAATCCTGATGTAAAAAAGTTGTTGCCATAAAGTCATCGTTTAGTAGGTAATTGGCTGCTCCATCAAAAAACCGTCTAAATTAAAATGTAAATACCTATTTTTTATCACAACTCACCGTATAAACTGGGTATAATATCCGGGTCTGCATCATCAGCGTCTCTTGGATCAGCTGTATGAAGTAACGCTCCTCGTGCTGTGCGTTCCCTGTCTCCTCGATCTCGAGGCTCAGTGCTGCTGGCGCGGGACTCCGCATCTTGCTTAACTGGAGTCGGGCAGTGAGGTGCTCGTTCCACATACATGGCTTCACTGTTGGGGACAAAAGAAAAAATCTGATGAGAATTTTTATTACGTTAAGTACTCGATGGTTTGGGGGATACAAAATTGAACTTGCTTAGTTGAGTAAGGATGGGGTATGCGGCCCCTGGTTTAGCTAGCTTTTGTGGGTTTTATTTTAGGGATTTCTAGTTCCAAAAAGATATTTGAGTAGCCGCATGGAGTTGGTTTGGTATATAGCTAATAACACACTGGTCAACTATACAATACAATGTATATCGGTCTCTGTCTATTCTTTCGATGAAAATGCAAACATAATGTTTCATTAAATTAAACGTTAGTACAATATACATTTTAGTTGTACACTCAAAATATAGAGTTTTCTAACCTAACCAAAGTAAAGTGCTTTAAGCCTTAAACCATAATTTCTATTCTACCAGGTAAACGCCAATTTTCGTTATTAAGTCTAGGAAAATTGATCGTAGCTGGGCTTTAGTCTATTGTTTGTTGGAAATTTACTTCACCATCAGTGACGTGAAGTACGTTAGTCTATGAAGCGCTAGGGTGTAATGGAAATGAATAGTTTGATGAGCAACTATTGTCTTTTCTGACGACATAATGGCATATTGCAAGATAAACATATTACGAAGCATTTTGGCGTTGATAGTAGTTGCACGTAGGTACTTGATAAGAGGACCCGGTGCCTCATTTAGGTGCGGATGGTGGCCACCGGGGTGGTTTTAGTGAGGAAAAAATCCCCCACTCCCTAGTCTTTTTTTTTTCCCAAAAAAGCTAGGCGCCTTTTGAAGGTTTCCCCCGTCAACAAAAAAAAAGGTACTTCATAAGCTTTGCCAATGTGTCATCAGATCAAAAGCGTATTTAAGCATCTATGTCATAAATTAACAATTATAAGAAAGTATCAATTAAATTCGGACATTTTAATCTATCATGTCTTGTTGGACAAATAAAAGTCATAAGAATAATGGGTTTTTAAAAAATTCCTCAGTTATTATAGCAAAATGTTTGAACTTTATGAAAATCGACTCGCTTTCTTTAACTATTCAGAAAAGTGATTATTACACTAGACATTAGGAACAGGCTTTTAGTAGGTACATTAATCAACAGACTTCACAAAAGAGGGGGTTGAAGTGGGTATTCTTAAACGCAGTATATAAAAGAATTTTTTTTTTTTTTTTTTTTTTTTTTTTTTTTTTTTTTTTTTTTTTAAAAACGTTGCCCCACACTAGGATTTTCTCCTGTGTCGTGGGTGCGTTTACAAACATACAATTTCACATACACATGACACCCAGACCCGGAACAACAATCTGTGGATCACACAAAGAGTTGTTCCGTGCGGGAATCGAACCCGCGACACGTTGCGCGGCAGCCAGTTGCCCAGCCACCGCGCCAACCGTGCAGTCAACAATTTTTTATGATATGGGCTCATAATAACTCATAATAATTGGTGAGAGCTCAACTTCGCCTACTTTTGCTGCAATCAAAACACAAAATATGTCGTGTTAATTTGTATGTCTATAAATTGCAATCACGTGGTTCTGTGGTTCAATTACGTACGCTATTTAATTTATCAATTAAACGAGTGATTGGCCGGTTTCCCGGTTGGCTGGAACTCAAGGAGCTGACAAGGTGATTGCGGCAGGTATTTGTGGTCGATGATAATTATGTAGACAATGCCGTGGTTTGTAATCTGCTGGAGCTGTAAACACTACTATTTATTAAACTGTTCTGGTAAAATAGGGTAGATGCCAAATTTTTATTTTAAACTGTCAAACACCAAGCGGTCACCGGTGACCGCAACCTATTGTTCTATAATTGTGTCTATAATGACGGTACTCGACGAGTTAATATCCTTCTAGTAGATTATTCTAAAACATTAGACACGTATTTATTTTCTTATAGAAGTGAATACTTTTGAAGATATATTGATTTGAAATGTCGCGTGACGTCAATTCTAGGTACATTTTATACGCAGAAATTACGTTTTAGCTCCCTCTCCTTAACTTTGATTCATTTTACCTAAGTATTATTTTACTATATGACAAAATAAATAAATACGTGTCTAACATTTACAATATCACTACATAGTAAAAAACAAAGTCGCTATCCGCCGTCTGTCTGTCCCTATGTATGCTTAGATCTTTAAAACTACGCAACAGATTATGATGCGGTTTTTTAATAGATAGAGTGATTTTTAAAGGTTTATGTGTATAATACATACATTGCACCCGGGCGAAGCTGGGGCGGGTCGTTAGTAATGTAATATATTCAAAATATAAAAATTTCAATTATATACAAATATAACCATCTCACATGACATTTCTGATTAAACTCGTGGACAATTTGTTATGATTTTCGAACGAATTTAAAATTCATTATAACATTCAGTTTCTTCAACCTGATGCTACCCACTTGTAGGCTGCTCATCTACGTTCCATAATCATTACCATTTTATTAATAATTTATTATCTTATACTGTTATACCTCTATAAAGCGGAAGAGTTTGTTTGTTTGTTTGAACGCGCTAATCTCCGTAACTACAAGTCTGATTTGATTTTTTTTTATGTTGAAAAGCGCATTTATCGAGGATGGCTATAGGCTATAAAACATCACGCTACGACCAATAGGAGCTGAGCAGAGCGTGTGAGACCGCGCGGAAGTAGCTAGTAGCTAGTACTTTCCCGGCACACTGATGGACCCCCAAACACTGTTGATAGCCTTAAGTTTCTTGGCTACCACGTCGAACGACAACTCCGCCCTTGCATCCTAAGGCCCCCCTGATTTAGATGATACCGTCAGTCCACCTTATCCATCACAACCAAGACACTTCATTATAGGCAAAATAAAATGCAAAAAGAAATAGAAGCTATATTACTTTCCATCGCGATTAACTTTCAAACTACTACAATATAGATTTTACTTATTCTGACATGTTTTACACCAATTTTAGCCATGAACTCGTATCAAGTGGCGTGTTGCGTGTTGTTGTTCAGAACTACATATTAAACTTAGAAAACTTCACAAGTAGCTATTAAGCTGAGGGTTTACGTCATATGCTTGGTTCTAGTGGACTTGGTTGGCCCTAATCTGCTAATATTGATTTGTGTGGTAAAGAAAGATATAGAATTCTTGGCTATGTAGGCATATTCTTGGCTATGTAGGCATATCTTTACCCAGAAGACGAACGGAATATAACTACTGATGTTAAAGCTACATAAAAACGCCAGTGGTACTCGCTTACACTAGTTGTTTTTAGCACACCATCATTTATATATACCACTTTTAGATAAGTTACCAAAAGAAATTATAGATTCGACATCAATTAACATAACATAACGTCACGCCATTTATATCCGAAGGGATAGGCAGAGGTGTACATTATGCCATTGTACAAAGTGAAAAGTGGGTGTTACAACACCCACTTTTCACTATTTACGTTATGCGTCCAATGTAATAGGGGGTAAGCCTATTGCCATTTTGAGATTTTTTAAGAAAACCCTTTGCCCGACGACGCAGTCATTTAACGATAATTTAAGATGTGTGTAAATTGAAGTTGTATCTGGCTAAACAACAATAATGATAGTATCAATATTGTATTCGACAGATATAGCGACATAATGATATTTATGTATGTATCACTCAGTTCACCAACGCCATAGCTTTCGGGCATTTCTTTAAGTTTTTTTTTATTAAAAAACGTTGCCCCACACTAGAATTTTCTCCTGTGTCGTGGGTGCGTTTACAAACATACACAACAAACAAAACCAGACCCGAAACAACAATCTGTGGATCACACAAAGAGTGATGAAGTTATTAATAAAGGCTTCGGTTTCGGCATTAATAAAGCGCCACCGGTCTTGATTGTGATTTGTGGGAAAAATCTATGTATTGTGCAGTCTTCTGTTTAACTCAAAATAACCCGACGAACCTTCGACACCAGTGTTGGGTACTTACTGTGCCCAGCTCGAATTGAGTTGACAGGTCCTTTCGTCATGGGCACGTTGCCACCCTGTAGATCTTTTATTTTTTGCTTTTATTATTTTTCACTGTTGCTTTTTCATGTAATTTTATGATTTTTAATTTTGTTTTTCATTGTTATTTTATATTTGTATATTTGGTGGGTCATGCTTAATGACGAATAAATTATATTCCTTTCTTTGTTTCTATCTTTTTGAAAAATTAATTTCTTTAATCCGATATTATGAAGTCCGTCCGAATAAATTACAATGTGTAAATTTATGTCATTGGATTTCCGACTTTATATCTAAACGATGGAGTTGAAAATCTAATAAAGAGCTGGTTGCCCTGCTAGCCACTGCACACGTGTAAATTATACTGTGTGTGATTTTTTAACTAGACGTTTAACCGACTTAAGAAAGCAACATTGAATATAAGAATTTGATTGGTTAAAATAAAAAGATACAAATATTACATTCCAGTGGACTATGTTCTATTTACTCGAATACCACTTCATATCACGCTCAGCAGTGCGGAATGACATCTATCAGCTATTTCTACGAATCAACTCGAAGATACTTACGGTACACGGGTCCGGGTACAGAACCCACTGTCAATAGCTCCTTCACAACTTAATAATGAGCAGACAAGCATAATTTCTGTATGTACTATTTTGGCCATTTTTAAAATAGTAAATGACGTGAACCTACTTTCTTTAAATTGAAAAAAAAAAACTACTGCTTTGGTGAAATTAAATACCTGTAGTTAGCTCCAGTACTTTTCTTTGGTTTTGTAATTATGTCACGGCTGCATTAATTTACAATCAGTTCAATATTCTTAACTTTTTGTGTGATCCACAGATTGTTGTCCCAGGTCACACACCCAGGTGTTGTATAAGTGAACTTATGTGTTTGTAAACTCACCCACGACACAGGAGAAAATCCTAGTGTAGGGCAACGTACGCAAACGAAAACGTACAAAAAAAATATACGCCCAATTACGTCACAGATTTAAACTCTAATTACTTTTAACAATATTTAAAAAATAGTTGCTTTTATTTAAACGATAGGTCAGTAAAACTAATCAAATTGTATGAACTATCCACAAAACGATGATGTGGTGCATAGAAACCTTAATTTACAGGCTTCATCCCGTCTCTCGGGTGTAGTAAAGTTAAATCGATTTCAAGTTCTCGATTTTGAATCAGTCGAGTTGAGGCTTGTAATTTGACTTTTGAACTAGTTCCCAGTAATAGTTGCATCCGACATCGAAAGGCAAGCCTATATATTTCGATTACATGGATTTGTAGTGAAGTGTTGAATATCTGACTGCCTCATTGGCCCAAAAAAGTCTCAGTAGTAGCACGGAGTCTGGAATTGGGGCCAGTACATGGCAATAGGCTCACCCCCTATTACCTACATGGGACAATCAAAAATCAATCAATCAATCAAATCAAAACGTAAATAGTGAAAATTGGCTGTTACATTGTACAGTGGCATTAAGTGCCGTAATGTGCACCTCTTCCTACCCCTTTGAGGATAAAAGGCATGATGTTATGTATGTTGTGTACCTTTACTTGTATATTAGGAATAGGATCAACAACAACACGACATAAAACCATTGATCAGCTGATATAATTTTCATTATAATATTTTCTACGTCTCTATCATCCTTCTATATCATGAATACTAGAGGTTCTACTTCAACTTACCTCAAAGGTGCATGTTTGGCAGGTAGATGTCGATGTCTAGCAGCGTGTCGTTTGTACAATACAGCCAGTACCCCACACACTGCAGTCGCCAGCAGAGCTGACATCGCTGCTATGGATGCTAGCACTGGTGACATTCCTAGCGCACTGCCTTCTCCTGGGGACAAAATGGTATCATTAGATATACAAGGGTAGTTGAAGTACCTCGTAATTAATGCTTTTTCTCTTCTTCCTTCTTTCTTGTCCTAAATTACCTAGTGCTATGAGCTTTCATGATTTATTTGCGTCTTTTAGATGCCGTTCTGTCACAAATGCTATTTATTTCGTATGGCCCATTCGACTGCCTCGTTGGCCGAGTGGTCGGTAGTGCGACTGCCATCTTGGTGTCTCGGGTTCAATTTCCGGGTCGGAAAAGTATTAATGGTAAATCTCAGTAGTAGCATGGATTCCATATTGCATGTGACTCATAACGTAATTGGTGAAAAGTGGGTGCTATATTGTGTAGTGGCATTAAGTGCCGTAATGTACACTCTCGGTGATAAAAGGCGATTTTCGTATATTTTTTTTTTAATTTTAACAAATTCTGAATCAATATACACCTCTGCAAGTTGAAACATTTTCCCTAATATTGTACAAGATTAACACTTTAATATTCACTACCCACTACATGAACTCACAAGATTTAATTAGTACTAAAACCAACCCAGAAAAAAACAAAGAACTTGTAAAACCCTAAACTAATTAACACAATTCAAGCAAACATACTTTACAATCATTTCAAAAGCAAGTGAAATGTGACAAATTTACTTAAAAAAAACTATAAAACACGCCATTTTTAAATAGAAATGTGAATGTAGCGACGCGATATGCTAATCCCTTGAGGGTAGGCGCTAAACTAACAATAAATTACAGCGAACAAATATTTGTGGAATTTTATTACAAGTTGCTTTAAAAAATGAAATATTTCATGTAGACTTTGTGTAGCTATTGTGATTTAATTACTGAGGGCTCATGTTTGTACAGTATATTTAAATTAAGGATAAAATTTATTTCATATGCTTTCGAATTTATAGCAACGTGATTTTTTACCGATTTTTTTATACTGAGCAAACAACATTTTTCTGCGAGGGGACAATCATTGAATTACCTTTTTCTACCTTGGATGAGGTGAGAGAGGGTTAGATTCTTTCACAAAAATCTAACTACTACTGTAGGAATAGGGTGATGGCTTTGAGATAGAAGCCGGAGCACCCTGGTAAAAAGGTTGTCCGTAGCTCCGAATTGAACGAACAAGCTAAACTTTCACCTGAAGGTACCTGATCATGCTGTCAACATTTTCAAAATATGGTTAGTTTATATTCTATTGGTTTTCATAATATATAAGCTACATTTAAAAAATAAACAATATAGAAAGCCATCCCACAAAATGATCTTTAGAAGCATAACTTAACAAAACCTTCTTGTATCAAAATAAAAAGAGGAAATTAATTAAAAACCTTACAGATTCTTCACAGAAGCAAAGACAAAATGCTAAGAAAATAGAATAAGTAAAGAAGAGCTAAGTATCTTATCACAACTAGCCAGAGTTGGCAAAGAAAAATAAACTTAATAACAACTATAAAAAAGGAAAGTTTCGTCTGCTGTTATTTCCAAGTTTTACTGAGATTTAAAAAAGACAACTTGCGGCTTTTTCGTTATGTTTATTAAAATGTGGACTGTCAGCTTTGAATCTTAAAATGGTAGTTTTATTCATAACTGCTTCATCTTTTGTTTGCTGTATAACCATGGTACAATAGAATACACATTTTATTACCAGCCCTAGTCCTCTCGTGGGTATCGTATAAACTATAAGCTAAATAAGGGACTACGCATTTAAGAGAGATTGAGCAGCAGTGGTTTTATTAACCTGAACCTTTTTAACTACTGTCTTCACCCCATCTGCCAATGCTTCATCATATCTTGATAATGATAACGTGGAGCACAAGACCGCGAATTCTTTTCTTAGGTTAAAAAGTGATCGAGAGAAATCGTAATCCAGCGATCTTGAACTTAAACGCAACATTTCCATATACAAATCAAAACTTCCATTACCTTCACGATACCCTAATCTCTTAACAAAAGACTTGGAACTATAAACAGCCAACTACTGCAAATGAAGCACGCTATAACGTTCACACACATTACTAAATAAAGGTAGTCACCAACAAACCAGGCTCCAAATTAGGCGTTTTATTGACCAGCAAAACACAACCTGTACTTATTAAAATTTGCGGTCATTTCCCTCTGTGTACGGCAAAATCAAAATGGTTATGAAACAGTGGTCAGTGCATAAAATACTGCTGAAGCATAGTTACTAGATTTTATAAACTGGCTGTGCGGTTTATGACAGAACTTTACCGTAAATATCTGTTTTAATTGACCACGAACTCTCTAAACGTGGCTTTGTGAACTATCGTTTAAATTATGTGCCATTTTCTATAACATATATTATTACATTCAATTAGTAAAATAGATAATCAATTTTGGTCCTTTTACGATCAAAGGACCAACTTCAATTTCATTCGAATTTTGTCAATTTTGACAAACTCATCTACATTTTATACCTCATGTATAATCCCTTCAAGAACTATTTCGGATAAGTTACTTAACATCAAGTTATAAAACTCAAAAACAGAGTTCATACGTATAATTAGATGGAAGACCTAGTATAAAAAATCCTTTTATCTCCACCCTAACGACCTCCATATAGTTCGTCGAATAAACTAGCAACCAAGCCTTTTATTAACTCATTTCGTAATCAAGCATTGTGAAATGAAACCAGTGCACGTTAGCGTGACCACGTTCTTAAGGTTCATTTTCCTGTAGCATTTTCATTGGCGATATCTAGAAATTAAGCGTTAGATTGCTGGTAGCAAAGATTTTATTATAGTCCTTAACAGTGAATTACGTTTGCATTGGAGTTTTGATACTGTAGTTCTGATAATGTATGATTTGGGTAAATTGTACTTTTTATTTCATCGTTTTGATTTGTACTTAGTTGGGTCTAGGGCTCCTAAAGTTTTCCTAAAACTATGTTAATAATGTGATTTGGTTTGTTGTGTGGAGATTTAGCTTCAAGCCCAACCACAAAAACAATTATTAGCTAATAATACTAGCAATTACAGTAGATTATTTTAGATGACTAGTCTTTTAGTAGACTAGACTTTACTAAGTTATCTAGTAAAATAACTTAGTAAAAGTAGTCTCTATGAGACTAGATCTAAAATCTAAAATAACTTACTTTCTGTTATAAAAATAAGTATGCCTGACGTTAGTTTTGAACGTAGGCGTAGTTACCATAAATAACATAACCTATAAAATGATAATCTTTAATTTACATATACCTACAAACTGTACCCTGGAACACCTTCAAAATGTAACAATATAAGTTCGAATGGAACCTTTCCTATCTAAATTCAAAGTTACTCAAACAGAATTTCTCAATAATGTTTGCAAGTAATAAAAACCTGAACTCGGTACAAAGCAATACTTTATAATGGTTTAAGAGTTCGAATTGGATCGCAAATAAGTAAACAATTTCAGACTTCTAACTGTTACACGTCAAACAGAGATATACACAGAAAATCCACGTTGTGTATTTTACACGCTGCATTTGTATATGCTGGGCATGTGCTTTCGTCTTTCATATTATTATTATGTTTGTTAACTAAAAATTGTGGGTTACTCACGTGAATATACTGAGAAAAGCTCTACTAGTTTCGAACCACAGAGGGGTTCTTCCTCATGAGCAGCGTACCTTAGGTATCCTACCTTAGGTAGGCTGGTTAAGTAGCCTACCTTAGTATATCTCACGATGGTTAATATAATATTATGGTTGTCTTTACCGTTCACGGGACCTCAGAATCCATTTGGAAGGCGTACGAAGGGCTGAAGCCAACTGCGCAGACGCCCTTTAGACAACTTTAATCTACATAAATGTAATGGACAAACAAACCAGCGACTATCCCTGTATTATTGTGTTTTATTATTATTTTCACTTTAATCATTTTATGAAATCATATTTTCCTTAATCATTTTCCTCAATCAATCAAAGAGTAGCTCTCAAATACAGTTTACTAAGAGAATACAGTTATATGGCCGAGTATCTGCCAAAGAAAAATTGGAGACACCAAAGAAAAATTGGTCCTTCGATGCGGACCTTACTTTATTTACTAATCTTGTTATCTTGTTATATGAGATCGAAAAGACTACACTATAATATTTATTGCAAATTTAACAACATTTAGGAGTTAACCTTCTGAACTTCAATTTTTATTTACTCAAGCTCTTATGTGGGCGTTTTTCTGGAGCGTGAGAACTGCTTATTTGGAGGTAGCACTTAATAGCAAAGAAAAATAAGAAACAGCCACTTGAGTGGGTATTAAGTTCCAGGATCGGTGAAAAGACATCTCTGGTTAGATGTTTAGATGGTGACATTTCCAACTAAGAGATACACGATAACCTTTCATTGTTGGGAAATGTGTAGTAATGCGGGCTCAATTTATACTGGCCGTAAAATGTGAAAGATATGAATAGTAGGAATTTAGTTTAGTATCGTTAGCGTGCATACGGTAGACTTAATTTTGTAGAATAAACATAAACGTTTTTTTACTTTACTTTTTATTAAGAGTTCAGAATAAGCCGCTTGCAATAAGTATATTCATAGTCTCTTTCTTCTTTCATTCATACTTTCTTTCCTAGGTAGACAAAGTTGGAATAGTCATTCTACCATACTAACATAAACATATATTAATTTTATTTTCAGGAACTCACCAGTAAACTTAGCTTGTCCTTTGAGAGTGACAGTTTCAATAGTAGACACGTCACTCCTTCCCTTAGCATTGACAGCATACAGGTCGATCCTGTAGCTGACTCCTGGTGGAAGACCATGAATCTCGAAGTACGGAGGAGTTTTGTTCGTGGAGACGTTGTAGCGGACCTGAGGAGGAGAAATATCATCAGCACAGATAGTTTTATGAAGATAATTTGTTATTGTTAAGTTCTATGAACGTTTATTGGACCAATTGAGATGATGTAAATGTCGGTAGAAAAAATATTGTGAAATGAGAGTTTGTTTCTATTATTATCACTTGACATTCACTAAAAACCCCAACGATAATTTCTTTCTAAATTGGAATTTTGTCATGTTATATTTGATTATTTCGCGTTTTATTATTATTTAAATTGTTCTGTTGATTTTATGTTTTGTTTTTTGAGTTATATGACTGATCCATGCTGCATGGATTATATTGCAATGTAATTTATGATTATGAAGACATTCAGATACAATGTAAATTGTTTATTGAATAAATGAAATGAAATGAAAATGATATATCAAACTGCTCATGAGTAACGATCCCGATTTGACTCGAAATTAGTAGAGTTTCCGTCCCAGTTCACGTGGGTATTTGAATAATCAAATTGCAATTATTTTACGTGATAGTGATGCGTATGAATTATTTGACACCAATTGATGATAATTTTTTTTATGCTCTGTTTACATCATCATCATCATCATTATCATTAACAACAGCCTATAAATGTCCACTGCTGAGCAAAGCCTCTTCTCACACTGAGAAGGTTTGAGCATTAATCACCACGCTTGCTCAATGCGGGTTGGCGATTACAAACATATAATCAGAAATTATAACCCCAGGTTTCCTCACGGTGTTTTCCTTCACCATTTGTAAGTTGTGTCTAGATGATCTTTGAAAGTACATATAACTCGGAAAAGGTCACATAGTTACGAACCCACACCCTCATGCATTAGAAGCGGGCGTCTTAAACCTCTACCTAAACGACATTATTTTTCACTGTTTTAGTTAATTTCAGTTGCATTTATGTTTCATCACATTTTGTACTATGTTTATAATTATGTATAATATATAGTACAATGTAATTAAGTTTTTATTATACACAATAAATATGAATGTCTTAAAATAAGAAGGCGAAGTTAAATAACAACTGCAGCTGGAGCTTCGCTATGACCTATTTTCTTTGTTAGTTCTCAATTGTCATGTTACAATAAACACTAACTGTTCCGAGCTAATTCTCTTTGCACAAATCTACAGCTAAGTAGTTTTAATTGTTTAATTTTATAATTACCTAATAATGTTGTTTTGTTTAGAGTATTACCTTGAACTTATATGTCTTTAAATATTTCTCGTTCGCGCTGCAGTCTAAAATGTGATTTTGTTGTTGAGGTTTTTTAGTCCAGATAGGACTAATATACCAAGTCCGTTGAGCGATCAATTTGTGTACTCACTTTATATGTGCCTATGGTAATTAAAACATGTGAATCTCGTCTGCTTCTACAACCTTTACCTTAACTTGTACAAAATGTTAATTTTATATTCTCTTAAAAGTGACTTTTTGTCTAAATGACAATAAATGATTTAAACTTAACATAAATTAGACGTTCAAGTAATTTCATTAAAATATGGAACAGATAACAGAACTTGGCTTTGTGTTTTGTAATATACCTGCTTGTATTGTTTCGTATGGGGTCTTTTTTTAAAACTAATTGATTATAACGATGACTTACAATGAGTGAAGGTAGCTCCAGCAGTTCCATGAGGAAGGTCTGAGGGAGACCACCATCAAAGTTCTCCACACACTCCACGTTCAACGAGTCTATGCTCTGGTTGGCTACCGAGCAGTTCTGCAGGTGGAATGGACGTCCTAGGAAGAGAAATCACAATTAAAATTAAAGTACTATCACTCAATAACCGAACAATTTCAGTTGCGACGCAATTCGAAGATCGGTAGCTAGGAATAAGTACAACATAATTGAACTTTTAACTAAATGATTTGAACTATCCAAACCTTCTTCCTGAAATCCTAATAGGTACTATTTCCACAATATTTAAAGAAAACAAGATTTATCTAATGAATACAGATCTCACCTGCAGCAACCAGCTGAAAGAGACAGGGTACTTTCTGCTGCCCCACCGCGTTCTCTCCATAGCAGGCCAGAGTGCCATACTCCATGTCTGTGGTCGGGGTGTAGTTGAGGGTCGATGTGTGACCGTGACTGCTGTATAACCTGGACAATAAACAATACATCATAACATAATGTGAATGAAAAATCACAGGCCGAAAATACATTTTAACATAATGTAACCAACTTCCAAAAAGAAGGAGGTTTATAATAGTGAGCGGTACGTTTTTAGGTAACTAATTATAGTAATATATACCAGTGGTATAATGTATACCTATACCTGCCCCTTCGGGGATAAAAGGCGTGATGATGGTATGTAATTACAATATTTAGGTGATGAAAGTGGCTGTCTCCAATCTGCCTTGCTGTGCTGCCTGTGCTTGTGGCACAAAGATTATTGCAAGCCCTCTTAAGCAGGTGGAAGAGACTCACAGTCTATTAGTGGGCTGTCAAGGAGTACTGATTTTGGAGCTACCTAACCTATGGAGTTTCGTGCTCGTTCTTCTCCATAGGAATCTACGCCTTGGAATGAGCAAATAGCTTCTCAAATAATAACTCTTAAATTTATATTGTTGACGTTCAAAAGTACCTCCCCGGTCTAATTGAAATAAATCATTTTGACTTTGACTTTGACTTTGGACATCATTCCATGGCCTAAATAATTTTCAACTAAAATTAAGTAAAATATTGACAAACGATGACATTTCATTACGAATTGCTATGTGATTTATGACACATGACGTTACGTGTTTTACCTATAATTATATTTGTAATATATTTGATACTAAAATGTAGCCTAAAATATCTACAATTTGGCTAATGGTTATTAAATTCCTAGTTCAGGTCATTGCTCCCGCTGAATATTCAATGAGTTACGAAATACTGAAATGTCAAAAGGAAATGTAATAATATTTTCCAATTCAATTTTGTTCAGATCTGTTTCAGAATAACTGAATTATTTTATTATTCCAAGGTTTTATTTAGGTTTTTAAATAGAAGATAATGTTATGCTTATTTAGTCATTATATTTACGCTGAAATACTCAGACGTCACTCAATTTTGAGTCTCAGTTAAATTTAGCTTTGTCACTATAAATTCTTTGTAAAATAACTTAAAATTGAGTATCATTTCAGTATTCGAGCATTAGCTGTTTAGTTAAAAATTGGCATTCCGTCAAATGTTAACAGAACAAATGTTCTATTTTTGAATTAGACAATAATAATTGCGTTTATCTACAAAAATATAAAGAACAAATCTGGCCTTTATACTTCCACAAATAAGGTCTATACATTTAACTTACTTTGGTGGCAGTTCCGTTTGTTCACCAGAGTTGTTGAAGGTCCAATGGAAAGATACGAGTGCTGGGTTCGCGTCCACGGAACAGTGTAATGACACTGTTTCTTGTTTGAGAGCACCAAATAGTTCTCCATCTCTTCTTTCCGCACAAACTGGAGCATCTAGGAAAGAGGAACATTCGTTTAGTTTAGCTGTTGTATTATTATTATCAAACTAAGTAAGGGCTATGGTGATGGTAATCAAGAATGCCTTATAAATCCAACCATGTAATAGCGACCAATTCTGAGGGCTTCGATATTGAAACGAGACCGCGAACGACGCTCTGATTGGCTGGCGCCAATAAACCAACCAATCAGAGAACGCGATCTCATTTAGATCACTATAAAGGTAAAACAAACTCGTACTAAGGCCTCAGGCTAATTCGTAATTATGAAAGCCAGCACAAATTGACAATAAAACAGTATTATTAATTTCACTACTCTTACATTTTACTATTACTACTTACTTACACTATTACAGTAGATATATATATTATGCTTTTGACATTAAATATACCATCCGTAAACACGTGGCTTCAAAATGCATTTTAATGTTGGTACTTTTACCCACCATTCATTTGCAATCCAAAACCCACAAATACACACAATCCATTCCTTATAATTATAAACAAGCATAAATAGCAACCAATCTAGTAAACACGATTTTTAAGTTTAACGCCATCTAGTAATAAATACCTACGTATAAACCTTCTTAAAGTATGACGTATAATATTACGTCATCTAACAAGAAGGGAAAAATTGAGGATTGTTATAAAACTGCACCTCTGAACACTTGGCCGGCACTTTTAATGATAAAGTCTGACCTGTGACGTAAAACTACTTTAACTGGAGTTGATAGCGTTTCTGTTTCACGTTCAAGTTCCTTGTAATGGAAGTTGGTCCTTTGGTACGAATTTTGGGATAGAATTAAAACTGGTTTATAATAAAAAAAACCTTTGCCCCACATTAGGATTTTCTCTTGTGTCGTGGGTGCGTTTACAAACATACAATAATACAAATACATGATACTCAGACCCAAAACAATAATTTGTGGACCACACAAAGAGTTGCTCCTTGCGAGAATTGAACCCGTTAATATGTTATGCGGCAGCTGGTTACCCAGCTACAGCACCAACCGTACAGTCATATAATCATTATTATATTGTGACATATTTATAGAACCCATTTAAAGAAATTTCATTTTAAGCGGTGCAAAAATACTTACGAGTCTAGTACTACTGATAATAACTTGTGAATCAATTTATTCCTCAAATAATCTCATTCAGTGTTTATAACTAAACATCACAGATGTTTACACAAAATACTAGAAAATACTAAATATTATTTAAGACCACATTTTTTTTTGGAACATGACTTTCATCTTTTTTTTATTTTTATTTTTTTTTATTTATACATTTGGAAAACCAACAGCTATACAATTTGATTAAAAAGAATGTGGTATGCAACAAGAAGCCAATTACTGGTTTCCACGATTAGTAACAGAAAGTAGAAACATGCTAACACAGTACTAAAATTACTCATTAAACTCATTAAACCACAGGCAGTCTATAATGATGCACAAATTACTCCAATGATTAAGTACCATATAGGTACCCACTATGAATTAAAGAAATCAAGGTTCAGCTGCCTGCGTGCCACAGTAAGTTTTGTGTTAAATGGGTCGAATGAAAACTCTTTGCACAGTTTATTGAAATCATTGCTCGCTCGCACAATATACGAATTACTCCGATAGTTGGTTGAGGAAGTAGGTATCGATATCGGTACACTGAACCTAAATGACTTACGGGGAACATTAAAATGAAGTCTTTGCAGTATTTTAGGGCAGTCAATGTCATTAGATAGTATTTTTAACATGAATGAAAAATCCGCCAATCTACGCCTGTTTACAAGGGGTTGCAAGTGAAATCTCTTGCAAAGATTTAGATAGTCAGCACTGTGATAGTCAATTTTCAAGCGATAACATAAAGATTTTACAAACCGCTTCTGGATGTTTTCAATTCGATCGATATAATTATGATAATATGGGTTCCATATCTGAGACGCATATTCGAGGCTACTTCTTACAAATGTGCAGTATAAAATCTTGAATGTCTTTGCCTGTTTAAAACACCCAGATATTCTCATGACAAAACCGAGCGCTTTCGAAGCCTTAGCTATTATTTGATCAATATGGATATCGAACCGAAGTCTTGCATCATGATAAACACCAAGATCTCGCACTCCGTCACACCTTTGCAGAACCTGACCCTTCAGCTCGTATGGATGAATCATCGGGAACCGCTTTCTACTAAAAGTAATCACTGAGCATTTTGCGGGATTCAGGTCAAGTTTATTCAACTGGCAATACTCATCCAGGCGCTTTAAGTCATCCTGGAGAGCCAGCATGTCCTCCACCGATGTTATTTTGGAGTAAATCTTCATGTCGTCGGCAAAAATAAGAAGATTAGAGCTATGGAAGCAGAGGTCAATGTCATTCACGTATAAGATGAAAAGTAGGGGGCCAATTAGAGATCCCTGCGGAACACCGCTTGGAATCTTGACCCAGCTAGATATGTAGTTATTGACTACGACAGATTGAGACCTGTTTTCTAGGTAGGATGCAAACCATCTGAGTAAGTCACCGCATATACCAATACGATATAGCTTAGTTTTAAGGATATTATGGTCAATTCTGTCGAAGGCTTTGCTATAGTCGGTATAAATGACATCAACCTGTGCCCCACCATCCATACTGTCAGTCAAGTAGTCATTTAGTAAGATCAAGTTCGATACTGTGGAGCGACCCTTCAGGAAACCATGTTGCGTGGGACTAAACGAGCTCCTAACCGCAGCGTAAACCTGATCATACACGATTCTCTCAAAAACCTTTGCCAATATGCAAAGTTTGGATATTGGCCTATAGTTAGCTACTTCATTCTTTGAACCCTTCTTATGCACTGGTGTTATATAGGCTGACTTCCAAATCTGAGGAACGACAGATTCAGTCAAAGATCTCTCAAACAGCATAGTAACGGGCACAGCGATAGTTTTTGCACAGCCTATCAAAAACTGGGGGGACAAATCATCAGGACCAGCCGATTTGCTTGAATCAAGATTGGTTAATAATTTTTTGACACGTTCGACATCTATCTCAATCGCGCCAATATTAGACAAAGTATCCAATATGGAATTAGGACATTCAGGAGTAACGTCGGAATCAACACCAGTCGGAGCAAGAAAGTTGGAATAAAAATGCAAGCTAAAGGCATTGCAAATTTCTTCGGGCGAGGAAATCGATACATCCTTGTGTTTAAAATAACTGGGGATTGAGGTAGATTTAGATCTGTGCTTTACAAATGACCAGAAAGACTTAGGGTTTCTCCCGATAGATGCTTCAGTAGAAGCGATATAATTCGCATAACATTCACTCTCAACCTTTTTCACCCTTTCGCGTAAAAGCCTGAATGTCGCTCCATCCGATATCCCACCATATAACCTAAATCTGCGTAGGTGCTTATGTTTCTCCTTTATGAGCCGCTTAAGTGACGGAGAATACCAGATCGGATAAGTGCTAGGGTATATAAGTTTGCTTGGGACATACTTCGAGCGCATCTCCGATAAAACTTTATAGAAGTGACTAATTGAATCCTCCAATGATAAATTTCCAAAAATAATATCCCAATCAATACTGGATAAATCGTTGTTGATTGCATCGTAGTCTCCCCTACTATAGAGAAACCGTGTATATGGCGCTGGTATTAAATAACTGGATCTAGCAAAATTTACGTCAATTAACAGAGCCGGATGATATTTGTCAATAGGTGCTAGGGGTACTAGGCATTCGCTAACAGATATGGTATCAGTACATAAAACCAAGTCCAACATTTTTCCATAGAAATTTAAGACACTATTAAATTGACTAAGACCCAACACAGATAATTCATCCACCAGCGCATGCTCATCACCGCTAATTACATTTGTGGGAATCAGCGAATTATTATCTGATGACAGCCACGAAATTCCACTCAAATTAAAATCTCCCACAATTAAAAACTTGTCATCTGGGTTACCCATTATAGAATCATTCAATCTACCTAGGTAGTTTGATAATTGCTCAGTAAAAGAATATCCGCGTTTCTCGCAGCACAGATACAAAACACCCAGGTGTAATTTAACGAAATCGTTGCTATCATAATGGCGTAAACTCACCGAAACCCAAAGATCCTCCGCAGTGGATTGAAATAGCGGCTGGGGCACTGCTGATATGAGCTTGTTCACTGCTATCAGCACACCACCTCCCCGAGTTTGACCCGTACGATGATAATCTCGATCACGGCGCCACACAATATAACGGTCACAAAATAACTCCGAGTCAGATATTCCATTCACCAGCCAAGTTTCCGTCAATATAACAACGTCGTACAAATTAACACATAATTGACGATAGAAGTCATCGGTTTTAGTGCGTAGTCCGCGTATATTCTGGTAGTAAATAGATAGTTTTTTAGCAGTATCATTGGCCATTAGGAATAACGCAAGACATAATAACCGCATCAATAGCAAAGTACAATGTTACACCACCGTGAATGAATGAAACGAACACAACAAGCAATCGACAATCCAAACCAAATAAAATCAAGGGTAGAACATAATAAACCAAGAACAAATAATAAGCAACGCGAACGAGAAAGCAATAGATCAATTCACGCATTAACCACATAAGTGCGAGCAAGACAATTAAATTTCGTTTAATAATTTCATATTGAATAATGTGATATGCAAGTGCGACACAAAGAACCCAGGTATATAAAAAATGGTCAAGTAGCATACCGCGGCAAAAGGCAGGGAAGCTCAACCCTTTTCTAAATTTTGAAATTATTTTAACATAATACAAAAACATGAAATAATAATAAAAATAAAACAAAAAAATTGGAACAATAAAGGTTATAAACTTAATGGATATTGTTAAGTTAACACGACTGATTAAAATATCGATGGTGCAAACCTTCTTACAGACAACATAACATTCTATTTTAGTCTGTTTAAATCGCCATCACTAGCTATGATAAGAACAGCAGAACCATCGTGTTTCCGAACATGTATCTTAGCGTGCTTGACCCAAACGTGTCTATATTCCTTCTCCTTCGCCATTAATCGGGTTCTGTTTAATAGCTTCTTTGAGTTGGAATTAAGATGGTCATTAATATAAACACGATTAGTAACACCAACAAATCCCAGATCGGACCCAGACAGGCCCTTTAGTAAGCGAGCAGCCGCAATGAAATCCTCCTTGATGTAGCGGTTCAGGAAGCTAACAATAATCGGCTTATCCTTTCCACCAAAAACCGGAATTCTGGTTATAAAATTAATTTGGTTTTGAAGCACTGGAAAGTTAACTCTCTGACTGATCCTATCCAGGATAGTAAAGAGGTTTTCATCCTTCCTCTGCGGAATGCCTTTGATCTCGACATTATTTAGCCTTGATCTTTGATCACTCATTGCCGATTCTGACTTGATGGTGTCGACATCTGTCTGTAGCGAGAGCAAAGATTCCTCTAGGTTTTCTAGTTTAACAACTCTGGACTCAATCCCTGCAAGCTTTGCCGAGAATTCATCCAACCTACATCCATCGAATTCACGACTTGTTTTGAGATCCTTCAGCTCCTCTCTCATCAATTTCACATCCTCGGACAAAATGGGAAGGCCAGCCAACTGCATCTTAAGCTCCCGAATCTCACTCAAGATAGTCTCGAGTGATGCAGGTTCAGGTGTCGGAATCGGTGATAGGATAGGTGTACGGGCCGGTGAGGCAATTCGACACCTTGGGCACTTCCAAGCGGCTCTTCTGTCATTACCGAGTTTCCTCCAGCCAACTTCGGTAATATTGGCACATGCAAAGTCCAAGTGCCCCCCACATGACGAACATTGGACACCGTCGTTGAAATCCACACTACAACTGACGCACTTCATTGCAATGATGGAGAATGGCAATCAAAAGATAAAAATGTTTAGAACCCCTGACAGAGGTGAGCGCGGGCAAGTGGTAGGCCTGAGTGATCGCGCCAAACACGTTTTATCGTCCACTATTTATTTATGTTGAGTATGTTCTTGAAATCGGATGTTACACTATTATCTAGGCACTAATTGTTTTCACCCAGTACCCAAATGTAGGTATCAGCAGACACGCGCAGGTAAGAGATCCTTAGTTTACAACTCGTTTATCTTTCCGTTTGTTTATTGAAGGTCCAGAATAACACTTGCACTTAATATCCTTCACAAAGGATTCTGTTTATTTATATCTAACAAGGTTTTAATAGGACTTTACTAGTTTATTTAATCAAAAGATAGGAATACTGTGTTAACGTTTCATGAACGGATGAACGAATGATCTTACTTTCATCTTACTTTCATCAAACTAGTTCAAGCCATCTGCTATTAAATAGACCCGTGTTTATATAAAAAGACAATTTTGGGTTCAACGTGCAACCCCTCATCCATTTTGCAAGTAAATTGCATTTTCTCAGGTTTTTATACCACTTCCGCGGTTGACGGAAGCAGGGACGGTTTACGGGTCCCGAGGGAATTTTAAGCTCCCTTTGTTTCGTGGCAACAAATTTTAATATAATTTCGTACAGTTTAAGTGATAATATTTTCGGGTCTTTTAGTTACGGAGCTTGCTCTTAATTGTTGGTTTTTGGTGCGGAAAATAGTTTTGTTAGCGAAGTGGTTTTATTTCGTTGTGTTGGCACATGTAACTGACAGTTTGAGAAACACTGCTCCAGATTTTTGCTTTGAAAATGAAAATAAGTTCGTTCTTTGCCTTGTTACAGCTTGTGTTTTCAAGCTTTGTTTTTTAATTAAAATACAATTTTCATCTATACTTGTAACCACTGCTCCATAATTATAGTGCCTACATGAATGCGGACATTTTCAATTTGGTAGCTAGTAATTGTACTACAGTTATTTCTAAGCCCGTAACCAAGTATTCAGACGTTGATTGTTTCAGTCACATTGTTGTAGAGCTGAACTTCCATTACATTGTTTGAACTGGCTAACAAAACACTTATTACTTTGCCAATTCTCTAGCCATTATCCAGCCAAATGTCCGCGAAACATCTGTCTCTAAAGCATTATTCTACTCGATCTGGGTCTCAAAGCAATCTAACTGGCTCTAAAATGTAGTTATCATCAAAGTAACATAGTATGCAGTTAAATTAGGGTTGATGTTTAAACGAAACTATACAATATATACTATAAAACTGCTGCAATACTAAGAAGTGTAGAAATTTTAATATAAAATGAAATGCATAAAAATCTTTCAAAAAAACAAAGACAATTTACAATATAATAATAATACTTTTATTTCAGACCACTGTGTCCAAATTGTTAGTAACAATGTTCTTATAGACTAGTGTTAGTGATACTTAAAATTACCCACAATGAAATTTACAAACCCATGTTTCTATCTGTTTGTCAATTGCAACAATTCTTGGTATGAAGCCAGGGGTCTGTAAGACTATAGTTTAACCAATATGAAAGGTATCAAGTTTTCATTCGGTCACTTGACCCTTCCTATTTTACTATTTAAAAGGTCGTGTGCTGACCAGGTTTTATTGTGCTATTTAGGTGTCTTTTACTTTCCTAGAAGTACTACTTTTCCCTTTTTGTTTTACAAATCAAAGGACCAGAAATAACTGCTTTATAAGACTTTGTTCTAGAAAGCAACTTACATAAACTATAAGTTTGGTTGCTATTCTTATATGAAAGTATTTAGATTATAGTTATGGACTATTATAGTTATCTACGTCTAATATTTGGCTTTCTAGTATATTAATATTTGATCGTTTAAACCAAAGCAACCCTACTAAAGCTCCCTGGAGACTGGGCACTGACTGTGTTAAATACTTGCGCAATAGGAGTCAAAGCGTGTGTTGGGGAAATCGAATAGATATAGAATATAGCTATGTCCACGTAAAGTTACATATGTGGTGGAAGTATATGATATGACATTTATATATTTGTAATACTTATGTACAAAAGTACATAGTTATTATTTCAATCTACTAAGAAGACTATTTACTGAACTAAAACTAGAGATTAGTCTCTCAACGATTTTCAATTTTGTTATAATTTGAAAATCCACTATTAAGTTGGACTTACTGTTCATATAAAAAAGGTACTCACATCTAACCAGCAGTGTGACAGGATTGCTAGTCCCTTTCCCTTCGCTGTTGGCTGCCATACACGTATAGTCTCCTGCAGCTGCTCTGGTGACACTCTGCAGTACCAGGCTTTGGGCACTCAGGATAATACCTGCACCTTCGTTGTGGAAGATTTCTGAATTCTGTATTGGAAAATAATAAAAGGTTTAGGTGACTAATTGACGGAATAAGATAATGAAATAAAACAAAAAACAATGTAATTTAAACATCATCGCTTGACATCAGGCGAGATAGTGGCGATACGTCAGCCAATCAAATTAAAAAAAAAATAAGAATGTATTGCGAACCCTATTGAAAAGGAGTAACTTATGGAGTTACTTGCTCGTTCTTATATGAATCAACACTTTGAAATGAGCAAATAGATTCACTAGAGGATTGACCAACAGATTGACATTTTTTTTTGGTTTGGTGTTCAAAGTGCCACCCTGGTCTAACTAAAATAAATGACTTTTTTGAATTTTTAGTGAGTTAGCACAACAGAGATTGACGGAGCCCATACAGACGTTACTAATAATTATGAAAATCTAACTATAACTGAACTCTTTGTGTAAACCCATATTTGAACCGCAAACCTCTCACTGAGCAGTCAAATTTGAGAAATATACATAACATAATTACTGACACAAGTTCGTCAGCACTTGCAATCAAATAAAAAAAAATAAAGATAAGTGATCTAATAAAAAATGTCCATGGTCAGCATAATACAGTACAGGGAATTACAAACAACATGGTGCACTTGCTGCCCTACCAATGCAATATAGCTATAAATTATATATTTTGTTTTTACTGTACAACGGTAGTACGTCACACACGAAGTCCATGAAACCTTAAAATGAAACTTTCGGGAGACGGAGACTTGAAAGCAAGTAATTGTACACAACGTGAATATTTTATTGCTTATGTGAACTGAAATTTATGTGAATTTATTTATGAGAGTAAAATTGTTTTGCTGTTTTCGTTTACTGTTGTTTTTCTCTTTACTTTATATTGGTAAAAGTATATCGATTCAGAAACAGTACACAACAACATAATTTACTAACATCACGCAAAGGAATAATGTTTTTATTTTTCGAAAATTCTCAATAATTGGGTTTTTAATGGGATAAGTCGGTAAACAAGCGGATGGATCACCCAATGGTAAAACATCGGTATCTCCTATGAACACCTGAAACACCACAACGCAAGAGTTGATACTCGTCGGTTTTCTGTGAGGCCGTGGTATCTATCACTCCGGTCGAGCCGGCCCATTCGTGCCGAAGCATGGCTTTCCCACACTTAAAGTATTGACACTCGTATGGAGCTCATTGTTTTACAATACACTTACCTCCCTAGATCACCACATTATGAGTGATTTAACTTCTTTTTTGCTCCACTCACACATTCTAATCAGCGTTATAATCTAGATCAATCAAATAGCAAAACACAGAATTCGTTGGGTAAGTTGTAACTGTATTATCTCTAGACCCCATAGGGCCAACACACCTATATGTATCCAGGTAACTGTGTAGTTAGGTGTGACATGTGTTGAACTCCACAAGATGATACCAATTACTCACATCATGAAACCAGACGAGGCGATGTGTCTTGGGATTAGCTTTGACAGTGCATTCGAAGTAAACGTCATCGCCCTCCTTGATCTCATCAGGGTTGAGGTTGGAGCCCATCTTCAAATCCACTATTGGGACATCTGTTGATAGAAACATTAGAAGATTAGAGTTAGTAAACAAAATAAAATAAATATTATAATCGAATAAAAACTTGGCACAATTGGTGGATCAGAATTATAAATGTAAGAATAATAATTAATAATAGTTTTACGTATAAAACACGCTATATAAGATGCATCGTCTGAGGATTGAAACTCAAAAAGCCATTAATTGTTGAGTATTTTTGCGACAGTGTCTACTATCAGTACATTTATCATATTTTATATTTTATAGACACAGAGGTCATAGAACGATTGAACACATTTCAAAGTTTTCTTGACAAAACAAAAACAAAATAAAATGACAGTTTGATTGTTTTATCTATTCTCAAGTAATAACTGTTCATATTATTTTGTTATCTTTTCACTATTGAACCAGTCTCAAGAGTCGCGTCAAACGTAGTTATGTTGTCTGAAGATAATAAAATAAAAATTGCACTTTTATTTTCAAAACATAAATTTAATCAAACACAAACATTTTCAATTTTCGAACCTCATTCAACTTTATATTTGAATAGTAATAAACTACAATGTTATTCGAAGAGAGTTTAACTTAAGAAAAACAGTCTTTTACTGCTTTAACAAAGAAACTACGAAGTTGAAAGTTATCCAATCACAAGTTGATATCAGAATTAGTGGAATGACTTGAGTGGTATTACCAACTTGTTACTATAGTGGCAAGGACACGTGTTCGAAGACCAACATCTTAGATATTTAGTTCAGAATTAGTTTTTTCATTAAACTCAAAGTTGCTTCAGACAAACTTGAAGACATTTGTAAAGTTTGTTAGTAGAAAATAAACGAGAAAATTCATGTTGGATAACTTGTAACACATCATAGTTTGGAACGTAGAACTTTAGTCGACGCTCCGAACTCTTTGCCATGGTTATGAAATGCGAATTACTGAACTTTGTAAACAAACATCAAGTTGGAACAACGAAAGAAGATTTTACATTCGGTAACGTTAATAATAAAGATTTTCCGTACAATGTATATTATATTATTATAGAGGTAGAAAACACGATAATTTTGATGCAAAAAATAATACGTACAATTCTAAATGAGACCTGCCAAAATCCTTTTCTCTTATGATCAAGATGAATTCGTGTAGCAAAGGAAGAAATACAGACACCGAATCTCGGAATCCATCATCGTTTCTATAATCAAAATCCTTTCAATTCTGATTAATGCTTACTCTGAACACTGAGCCTCCATTTGTTCTCGTTAGCAGAATGTGTTTTCAACAGGAGCCACATGTAACTATGGATATGTCATTGCTAAAATTTTATATGACTCGACATTTTTGGAAATGAGTTATGAGTTTTAGGGGAAGTTCGGTTATTCATATTCTTTCTGTTTTAGTGTTATCATCATGTATACAGTTGTAATACCTGTTTAAATGTGTACCTAAATGAAGCTGTTTATTTTAAAGATTAATAAAGCTAATGTTTAGTCTTTATTCACTTGACTACAAAATCTTTAAGAATTTTAACCGACTTCAAATAGAAAAAGAAGGAAATTCTTAGTTCGACCTGTTTGTATGTATGTTTGTGCGCGATTATCTCGCAATTGGGTCAACCGATTTTGATTGAGTTTTCGACTTCAAAAAAGAGGAAGTTAAAGGCTATTTATTCTAAAAAGTAGCATACGACAGATTTTTTTTATATAAAAACGACCTCCAAAATTACAGAAAAAACTTTAAAAACATAGTATTTCCGCTTCCTTGATTATTCATAAAACTATAAACTTAACAACAAAACTCTCTTCATAGTTCCAAACCCATCTCCCAAACATCCTCACGCAGTTTCAACAATACACCAAACACGTGGAAATGCCAGACCCATCAATGTGCTCAATCAAAACCCTTCAGAATCTCATCAGTACTCACAGTGCACATTGAGCCGCCATTTGTCTTCAATAGCCGAGTCCTGTATATGTTTGTTTTCAGCTCGGCATGTCAAATATTTGCCATCGTCCTCGACGCTGGGAACTAAGCTGAGCACGCTCAACGTCTCGTTGTTCTCGGAAAACTGTGAAAAGATGTGCTTTACGTTAAATTGCATTTGATATTGTATGCTCTGGAAGTGATTGTGTTGTTTGATATCGGTGTGGTTATAAACTGGTGAGATGAGATTTTTCAGCTTTAAGTTCTTCTTGTTGGAGTTTTATGAATTTGTTGCTGCTCTTTTTTGAGTGTATAAAAAGAAAAAATTAACAAGTAGATAGTAAATTTAGGAAAGAACATAAAACTATTTTAATGAGTTTTCCATATAAAATCTGACAGATGTCAATGTTATTAATAAAAGATCTGCCTTTATTAATTTCAATCGAAAGTGTGTCAATCCCTTTATAAGTTGTGGAAAATAATAAATGGAAAACACTTGAAAAATATTCAACATAGCATATGTTATGTTGAAAAATACGAATATATGAAAACCTTTTTATACCACTTTATATCCCCACTTCGTCTCTAAAGACCATTTAACTACAAAAACTGCATTCAACTCACATTTTTCGCCATCCTCTTGAGCTGTCTATTGTTCTTCCACCACGTGACGTACGCCTCTGGTCTCGAACCTGTCGTTTTGCATTCCACTTCGTATCTTTTGTCAGCTGATACTTGCTTCTCTTTTGTTAGTATGTTCACTGTTATTGGTTTTACTGTGGAAACATCAATGGTTTTGAACAATTTCTTTCAACTGTTGCATTTGTAGATATTACATTAAGTTTTAATATTACAAGTTTCGCTAGACATACTAAATGATTTATTATATTTTTCGGCTACGTGAGTAGATAACGTATCATATTCAAGCGGCTCATGAATATGAGCCTCTAGCATGGCTTGAAACTAATCGAGTTCCTCGTCAAATAATTACGTGAGTAAGCCAAAATACATAATAATTAATTTAACTTTACCCTTCTTATCTATATCTTGGTATTAAATCAGCATGATTATGGATAAATCATTTCAATAATAATTAAATTTCTTTCTTTGTGTAACATTATTTTTTATTGACAAGTTCACCTTTGATGTAATACTTACAATTTATATCTAAAATAAGGACTTTGGTCTCAGGTTGCGCGAGGTTGGTGTTGGAGGCTTGGCAGACGAGCCTGGAGTTCAAATGTTGGCGGCCAACATTGGGGAATGTCAACGTGTTCACCGTCACACCGTCAGCTCTCTGCTCGAATGAGTCATCTATCACCACATTTTCTAAATACCACGTCACTCGTGGCCTTGGTCTACCTGTGAAACAAACAACATTTTAAATATAAAGAAATATCTAATATATTACGTGGCCTCGTTGGCCGAGTGGTCGCGAGTGCGACTGCCGGCAAGGGGTTCGATTCCCGGGTCGGGCAAAGTATTACTGGGTTTTTAAAAAATTCTCAGTAGTAGCACGGAGTCTAGAAATGTGCCCGGTATATGTCAATAGGCTAACCCCCTATTACATGGGACTCATAACATAAATAGTGAAAAGTGGGTGTTACTTCTGTGTGCACCTCTGCCTACCACTTCGGGGATAAAAGGCGTGATGTTATGTTATGTTATTACTTTTTAACCAAATTCAAACAAAGGAGGTTCTCTGTTTGACCTGTGTATGTATGTATATCTGTGCGCGATTATCTCGATATTGGCTAAGCCGAATTTGTTGCGATTTTCAGAAAAGTGTTTATTACACTTAGGAGAAGGTTTTAGTATAACTTGTCCGACTTCAAAAAAGGTGGAGTTGAAGTCGGATTATTATTGTTCCATCATAATTCGTTTTAGCTTTTAAAACTTCACCAAGTAAAATCACTGGTAACATAAAATTCAATATGGTGTCGAAATAGATATATTTCGTCGATAATTATCTGGAGTTCGTGGTCGCCATCATTATTCTTATTGACAAATTGTCCCTCCAACCATAACCCGGCTTAATGGCTTCATTTTTCTTTCTTCCACTAGTCGGCTCTCATCAAAGAATGAAATATGTTGAAGTTGTTTCAACATCAAGATGACTTTTGGTGAAAATACACAAAGGCTTATTATAGATTTCTGATAGCAATGATTAAAAACATATTTCAAAACTCAACTACACTTAAATACTTGTTGAAAGTAAATTTCATTAAAGCGAATTAATTTCCAATTATAACCGTTCCAACTATACCAAATCATGGAATTAATTACTATTTCTAGAAGTTCCTGAATATCAATAGGTTTGAATGTAATTATCGTATCTGTATCGGTTTCGTTATTAAATTGAATGTTATGTATTACTGAGAACTATTGCATTCTGTTCTCTAGAATAAAGGGACTGTTATAGATGCTCTAAAATAGCATGTTACAAGGCGTTATAATGAGCTTGCTCAAAATTTTTCAAAAATGGGACGCCTGTCGGTTGGCAGACATGCCTGAAACGAGCATGCTAATTTTGAGCAACATTAAAATTATTTTTCTAGGATTTTCTCCTGTGTCGCTGGTGCGTTTACAAACATACAAGTTCAGATACACATGACACCCAGACCCGGAACAACAATCTATCTATCACACAAAGAGTGTGTGCGGGAATCAAACCCGCGACACGTTGTACGGCAGCCAGTTGCCCAACCACCGTACCAACCGTTCAGTCTCCAGTACCGTGCAGACATAAGTGACAAGTCCTCAATTGAAGCATGCTTTCGTACTATAAGGTACCTTTATGATGTTATATAACCATAATCATAGTTTGTGTCATAGAGCTGTTATCTCTAACGTTATAACCATTTCCCATATGTTCCCCATCATTAACGCCCACAGATCCTGTGTGTTCATCATTTATAGTGTCATTGTTCTGTCCGGTCCCAAATTATGCTATGGGATCGGAATGTTTTATTGTTAACACTCGAAGGCAACAATTATAGCCTCTAATCGGTCAGATAGCTTTCAAAATTTGTTATTGATTCGTTTTGTTTTATCAATTATTTGGTCATTACGGTTTAGGGCGATAGGGTTTCATATTTTTTTGTGTAGCGGTGAATTGATTTATTTCGATTGACCACTTTTAGTTAAATTTCTTTATTTCCAGAATTGATTTGGAGACGAATTTGTTTAGGATTCGACTTAATTTAAAAAATTTGACGGAAATGTTTATTTTTACATTTTTTGTGCAACTAAGTGCTAAGTTGACACGATAGCCATCTTGTCAAAATAAAAATATATTCAATAATTTTATTCCGTGTCTATCTAGTGTCTCTAATAATGAACTTTCAGTCGCGGAGAACCTAACGGGCAACCGGGGCTCTGGCTCGACGTGCAGGAGAAGGAACGGGGTGGTTTTTAGTCAGTAAGAGTCTGACACTCCCTCCCTAGGCGGGAGCAGCCATTTGATGATTTTCCCCCCTTAGAAAAAAGTATCTCTAACAATGAACTTTATTACATTACTGTCTATAATATGATTTATTATTTTACCTACATTTTTAAGACCTGACGTGTCTCTAAAATCAAAAGTCGCATACTAAGCATTAATACCTACTTCATCTGTTTCGCCTAGCTTAGTTCTAATTCCAAGACATCTTGTTTCATTTCGCTTTACGTTTCAGTGCCTACGGTTTATTTTACCTGACAGTAAGCTGTATTAGCTTAAGCCAAGACATCTGCATGTTAGACCTAGATTAAACAGCCTCTCTTAGAACCATTTACTATTCCAGTAAATCTCTGTGACTTAGATAATTTCCTTTTAATTGGATGGGTTAAATATATGTGTATGTGTTGATCTTAGTTCGTTTTAGTTTGTATTTCTAGGGAGTTCTAGTGATTTTAGCTATATTTGTATGGATTTTATTATTTGCAAGGTTATATTTTTAATTTTAATGTAAGTTTTTGACGTCAGATTAAAAAAAATGTAAAACAAAAAACAAGAGTCCAACAACAAAGAAAATAAGAGACAAAAGGATTGTTGAATTATCTACTATATAGAAAGAAAACACGAAAACTTGTGAATTAAAAATTCCGAGATCTCTCAAACTCAATGTTTACAGGTTAATAGATTTTTCCAATAAAAGCACAAATTTTAATGTAAAGTAACTTGTTAATTTATATAGAGCATTACTATGAAATCTTTAAGACGATTCTATTAAAAATCTTAAGCGAAAATGAAATAATATTTCTATAGAAAAGGAAAAATTGTACAATATTGGTCGAGTGTAAATTCTGCCATTCAAGATTAGATACATAGGTTGATCAAAGTACTGTTAATTTTTCGGTTTATAATAATGATGCACGGTTTATAATAAAAGGTTTACTCCATATGAATAAGAAAAAAATAAAAATACATCACCTTAACTTACTCCTTCGTGATCTTATCTTCCCTACTTTAGAATGTTATCATATTATTCTGCTTACCTCCTTCTACTTCACATATGAGCAGGACGTTAGACCCTTCGTTGTAAGGCTCCACTAGTTTCGTTCTGTCTCTTCTTTTTGCGTCGTATATTGTAGGACGATTTGGTGGTACTGGTGGATAACAATTTAAAACAATTAGAAAATATATTATTTGGTTATGTGAGGTATAAAGAAACAGGAGACCTGCAGATATCCAATTGAAAGCAATAATCTGCTTCTTCTTTTTTTTAATTATTAGCAACATTATTTTTAAAATTGTAATAAATACTTCTTCAAACCGATCGACCGTTCGATTCCCGGGGCCGATTGCCTACCTCTTCGGGGATAAAAGGCGTGAAGTTATGTAAAAGTTCTACCGCCTAAAAAGAAAGACTTATTTAGTGAACAAAATATTACGGATTAAAAAAACGCAGTCTGATACTTAATCCAACAAAGTCTTATAATATAAATGAAAACAGACATGAGAAAATAGAAATACTTACTAATAACAGTAAAATTAACTTTGAGGTTCCTAGTAGGCGAATTCTTGAAGTCTACCCTGCATCTATAAACGCCAGCGTCGCTGGCTATCACATTGTCCACCATGAGTACCGCGGGAGTTGCACTGCCACGGAAGAATGCTCTGTTCCCGAAGACGGTCGGAGAAGACCAGAGCTTCGGCTGGTTGATGGAACGGCCCCTGATGTCGTAGCTGCAAAATTGTATTAGTTTAGTATTTTTGAAAATAAACTCAAAGCATTTATTTCATTTAACCCATTTATGGCACAGGTGTTTATCGTTGTGAACGTTTAAAAAAAATAAAAACAGAAACGACTGTCATTGTCAGTCAGTCAAATAAATTGGAAAAATGTTGTCTGTATTTTTGAATGCTATAACTGAAATAAGTTTAATGATTACGCTAAACTTATCTAAAAATGAACTATTTTTATAAATTGGTTGTATTTTTTGTGTTATTTAGGTAGATTTGTTATAAGTGGGTGCAAAATAATTTCAACAAAATAGGTTTTGACTTTCTGTAGATTTTAAAATACGAGATGCGACTATAATTTTCATTATAAAATCATATACTGGATTTGATCCAGAATGTGTCCTATGTTCAGAATATTACCAAAATTCGATTTTATTTAATGTAAAAGCACGCCACATATTCCCAAAACCGCTGCAATTCCTGTAAGCCAGGATCTAAATTAGGTACAACCATGAAATCACCAGAACCTGATGTCCGACGCGTCTCAGAGACATGAATAACTGTCATAGTTCCAAAATACAAATTTATAATCTAATTATTTAAAAAAAAAACGTTGCCCCACACATGTTTTCAGTCCTGTGCCGTGGGTGCGTTTACAAACATACAAGTTCATATAGGTATACATGACACCTAAACGTTGCGCGGCAGCCGGTTGCTCAGCCACCGTACTATCCGTGCCGTCAAAACATAATTTCTAACTAATAACATAATCTAAGCATCCTTTTATGTATTTATACGTACATCAACCGGTTCTACCCGTTCAAATATAACATCATTATATACACAACACAAAGAACAGACCAAATTTTCCTAACAATCAACATTAAAAATCGAGTCATCTGTACACCCAGTCCTAATATTAATTACTTCAATATCATTTCGTGTACCTCTGTCACCATTAGTCGAAGTGTTTCCTGGCGTTAAAACTAACAGTGGCCCACGTGTCGTGCCTCCATTATCACTTGTCCCTAATTTAACTATAGTGTCTACTGTCCACATTTCTTGTTTTCACACTTCCATTTAAAGATTATAATTTTCGTAAATTGATGTTTTACTTGATTGGATATTCGGTTTCATGGTGGTAAGTCTACATTTATATCTGTTTAGATTCAAATATACCCATGACGTTAAGTTGCATTATAACTCTTTGACGGACACTTTCATATACTGACCAATACGAAATGATCTGATTGCTGACTACCTTTAAACTTTTAGTTAAAGTATTATATGCTTAATGCCTATTAAAAATCAATCTAAATTCCTTTCACTGATCAAGTGGACAGAAAAAGCGAATAACTATCATGATATCTGGGAATTTTTGGACTTAGAAACGTTCTATAGTAGATCTGGAATTGTTTATAACTACACTGCACTGCCTAGCCTATATGCGCATATTAAACTGTCAAACACCGCGAGGACACCGGTGACCGCAAATCTTTATTATTGTATCTATAATGACGGTACTCAAAGAGTTAAATCTTCTGTCATCATCGTCATCATTTACTACCCTTCTATTTATCTTCTTAATTTTATTATATCCTCACCTGTACAAAGGCTGGTCACCATCAGACTCCTTGAACCACAGCACCATCACCACGTCATCATCTGAGTGCAATGGCTGAATATCGCATGGTAGTGATGCTTTCTTCCCAAGTACTCCCTGCACGTCTGATGTTGGCACTGTTGAAGAAAGATCACAATTAATATAAATTCTATAGGTATTCTATGTTGGTAGATATTTGAGTTTGGTGACAATAAAGTAAACGTTTATTTAAAGGAAGTGTTGCATGCCTACATTTAGATTCCTTAGCCGCAATCTATGTCAATCATGTTTAATGTTTAGATATGAGAATTATTAATTTGGGTAAATGCTGGTTTCCTGTGAAGTTTCTAATATCGAGCAGGCCGGTAGTGTCGAAACAAATCACACAAAGTGCGTGCCTACCGAGACCGTTAGCCTACAGCGGCTCGTAAAAGATTGCTACACTTATTTACCTTCATAACTTTACCTAAAATCATGACCTACACTTACACACGTTCGATGTTATCCAATAAACCACATCCTAAATACGAATATAATTACGTACCCTCAAAAAATTCTCCTCATTTCCCGTCACGCGATTCTCGTTCTAAACGTACAAATTATAATGTCTATAATTGCTCACGCGTTCCCTCCACTCACACAAATTGCGGTGCCTTGGGCAACACGCCATATTATTCCTTGTTATTTCGTCACGGAGTAGTTTTGGTGAAAAAGTAACAACATGAACATTGCCTGTAAACATGCCAACTTCAACAAACGTTCTTTGATGTGTATGGGATATGATTTGTCTAACAAACAAATGTTGATAGTTCGTAAACGATTGCGAAACTTTTTGTGGAAACCCTGAACAGTTTTCTTTATTTCATTCCTTGCAATAAGAGCTAGAATACGACCAGTCGGAAATAAAACCATGGCATTTAAAATAAAATAAGGAAATATTTTTGAGAGAATGGGCTTAACAAATGACGGAGTAAAAATATAAACCTGTTTTATAATGGAATTATAAACTTTTCCAGAGCAAAATTATATTATTGATTTAGTTTTAAGTATACTATGAACATGTTTAGACGGAAGATTGTACTGAATAAATTTATTTTTAGCGTTACCTACGCTTTCCACTTCGGAAAGTTTTGTATCATAATATGTTTCTGCTTCATCTATTCCTAGAAATAACCTTGGGAGAAAAGTCTGAGAACCAATTACGACCATTAAGTGTATATGAAAATTATTCAATTGAACGTTATGTAATAAAAATTATAACACAATTTTAGGTATGGGAGAGCCACGTTTCGGCACAAATGGGTCGGCTCGATCGGAGTGACACCACGGCCTCACAGAAAACTGACGTGAAACAGCTTGGTTTGTGTATCGTCATGTAAGTTAAGTTACAGGAGGCCCAATTACCCTTCTCCTACTTTTCCAATTTTCCCAATCTCAGAATCCCCATCTATTCTCAACTTTCTGATCCCCAAAAGGTCGGTAACGTACTTGTAACGCCTCTGGTATTCTAGGTGTCCATGTGTGGATCCATCTGCTCGTTTATCGGCTTATCCATTTATGCTTCCAATTTTAGGCCTAAGTTTCCAATTTTCAAATCAATTTTCTAGAGCACAAAAGCTTAAAGTCCACATTATAATTGAAGGTCAAAACTATAAAATGTCTACTACCAGTAGTCGTAAAATAGTCATAAAGCCTAGAAGGTCCCAATTTTAATAGAATCTTAACACTAGACCCCTTATAGCCTCCATGAAGAGTATGTGGGTCTAGTGATTAAATTCTAGTGTTTTATAGGTCCAATACTATCGATCGGAGAGTTTCTAGTAAATGGACCAACGAAATAATGTAACTAAATAATTGTATTGTGAATCTCGTTGAAAAAAAGTAACCTATAGAGTTTCTGGCTCGTTCTTCTCCATGGAATGAGCAAGTAGCACTTTTTTTTGACAGTCAGGTGCTTTTCTGTTGTAATTGAAATAAATGATTTTGAATTGACTTTGGATCATTGTTTGAAATTATTACACTAGTTTTATCCAAACTTTGACTAAAACCGAAAGTAGTCATGTGAGTAAAACCAATTTTATCTTCATTTTTCTTTTTAAATTGTTCATTTTTAGTGTTGCTAGGTTCTTCTACGATGTTTTTTCTTTTAAGTTCTTGTGTAACTTAGTTTGATGTCCAATCCAAAGACAAACCCAAAAATGTTTTAAGTTTCCCAAAGTTTGTAATTTTTTGGTTGAACTTTCGAAGGTAATTTGGAGGTCGATCCATCAAATTGTAATAGTCACCTTTATTAGGTAACACGAACAACTGGGAAAGGCTTTGATTATAATGATGGAGACCACGGTTTTATTTTTGTTTTGAAAATATTTGAAAGCTTCTTGGAGGTTGATGGTAGGTAGACCTTTGGTTTACTAGTATAATTTGTAGTGTAGTATAGAAAACCACATATACAACAATAAGAGACTTTTGAGTCAATAAAAAAATATCCAACTTTAAGTTAGAATAATATTATAAGTGTGGGAGAGCCTTGCTTCGGCACGAACGGGCCGGCTCGACCGGAGAGGAGTAATACCACGGCCTCACAGAAAACCAACATGAAGCAACGCTTGAGTCGTGTTTCGTCGTGTGAGTGAGGATACCGGAGGCCCAATTACCCTCCCCTTCCCCAATCTCCCCAATGCCTGAATCCCCAACGATCCTCTAACTCCTAATCCCCAAAAAGTCAATAACGCACTTGTAATGCCTCTGGTGTTCCAGGTGTCCATGGGCGGCGCCGATTGCTTACCATCAGATGATCCGTCTCGTTCGTTTACCGGCTTATACCATAAAAAAAAAATTAAGAACTCGAGAGGTTTATCAAAAACCGATGGTCACTGCAACCACTTTATAACGATGACGCTGTCAAAAAGAGATCCAAAGACATTATCCGCCAGTTCCATCTTAATTCTCAGATTAAAATGCAAATCAAAACACTCCAGCCTTGATTCTGTATGTCGTCAATAGACTGAAAAGTTTTCGTGTAAGCCGCGTCGAGGCGTGTTGACCCAGTTTATGTTCACGTCGAAACACTACCGCCTAGAAATATACCTTTTTATTTTATTTAATAAAAGTTGAGCATTAAAAAACGAGTTTATTTCTTTAATAACTTGAAATTTGTACGGTATCTGCTTTTGTATGTGTTTGACTGTTGACTGTTGAGTACCTTCGCACCTTGTGCCTTGGAATCGGTTTAAAAAAAGTATGTTGTTTTTTTTTCTTGTAAATATGTAGCTTTTGCGTAGGTAGTATCTGTAAGGATGTTGTCACGTTTGACATTGTTTATGTGACTTTCTTCAGTACTGCTTAAATTGGGCATTTGATTTTAGCAAGTGAGGATCAAACAAATCGAAACTTCTAATAATAGTGATCAGGTGTGACACCTAAACGTTGACTCAGCATCTAACGTAAATATTGCAAAATAATCATCATCATCAGTCTGTGTTCATCCCCTGCTGGACATAGGCCTCTAAAATGCCACACCTCTGAGCTCGGCCTTCAGCTTCTCTCATCCAACCACTGCCAGTCATCTTGCTGATGTCGTCACAAAACCCAGTTAGAGGGCGCCCTACACTACGTTTGCCTAGACACGATCTCCACTCTAGACGTTTACACCAACGGTTATCGCAGATAAATAAAATTATGATATTGTAGTTTAAAAAATAAATATTCAAAAGATTATTAAACACAAACTCAATTTAAAACTCGACTTCAAACACAATGTAGCATGTTTAAAAAACATGACTGCATCCAGTACGGAGTCACGTCACAACTTCGATCCGATATCAGCAATGTATTGTCGCATCCCATCTTAGAACCGATTGTTTTTCTTTCATCGCCAAACGAACATAAAAATAACGTCAACATATAAAAACATAGCTTGATAAAAACGTACTTCGGTAACATAGAATAATTTAAATGTAATAAAAACCGGATATTGGTTAATGTAACCAAAATCTGTGGTTTCTTGCAACCAAGTCACGTCTGAGCCTCGATCGTTACGCATATTTATATTCTAGTTTACTTTATATTAAAACTTATTTTTATTAAAGCGTATTTCTATTCACGGTTTGATATCTTTCATGAAAATATTAAGTGACACTTTCCTTATATCGAGTTTTTGTTGATTCGATATTAGTTCTTCTTGTTATTGGTTTAGGGTTTTTATTGCCGTCGTAAAAACATATCGCACCTGTGTTTTGGTATAGTTTTGAGTTTTGTACGATTAGATTTCTTTTGTGAAATCTTTAATGGCTATTGTAGCCTAGGATTTCTGTTGAAATCGAGATATAAAAGGCGAGATTTTATTTTAAAGTTTGATGTCGTGGGTGTGTTTGCACATAAAAATCTAATGTCAACACCACTCCCACGTTAAAAACATATTTGTTTGCCTTTGGTACAGGTACTTGTAGATTATGCAAACCTACCTCTATCTAATCTACAACATGTAATAAGAGAAACGCGGGATTTTATTTTGCAATTTGGCTACAAATCATCACTTTTTTACGCCAATATTTTAAACAAATCTCATCAAAACTGGGTTGGCCTCGGGAACTGGTTTGCGTGCAACGGGTAGCGGGTTCGATTCCAACACGGAGCAAATCTTTGTGGGATCCACAAATTCTTGTTCCGGGTCTGGGTGTTCAGTGTATGTGAAATTATATGTTTGTAAACACATTCACGACACAGGAGAAAATTCCAGAACATAGGGGCAACAATTTGAAAAAGAGTCTAGATTCCTTAGCGCAATAGCGAGAGTATGACGCATGGTTACTGACCGTATTATAGCAATAGTAACCATTCGTTAACTAAAGTTTACGCATGACATCCCATAAATAATATAATGCACCTAGAAAATGCATACAATAATGAAACTATGCTTGAGCTCTTATTAAAATACATATTAACTCTCTCCCTCTCATGATAATTTTGACTCACTAAAGCTGTCCCAAAATACCAACACACAACACCACAATCTACCAATTTACGGACCCAATAATTACTTTAACACTTTGAATAAATCAAAATCGTTGACTTTGACCCCACTCTTCTACTGCGCGAAGGAAATGAAAGGTGAAGAAAATTACCCACCACCCAGCGC